TTATACAAGGACGGTATTCATCCAGGCTTAGTTTTGTCTAAGTACTGGGCAAGGCGTTTTGCACAAAGAGCAATTGTTGACTGTTCTTAGTGTTTGTTTTCTGGGGTGTGTCATTGGTATGGTTGGGTGCTAGTAGGTAGGGATTGACCCAATCACTGTACTGGCTGCACTTTTGGCTCATTTTGGATGCAGATGCTGAGGTTGGTTGACATTGTTTAGAGTGTATTTGATAACCGTGTTTTCAGCATTGTACCGTATTTCTAATTACATACATGTACATTGCTACATTGTCTTTATATACATTCTGTGATTTTTAAATTGTGTTGTTTAAAATAAAGGTTGATTGTGAAATCTTTGCAAATTTCACATTTATTGTTTAGAGTGTGTGTTATTTGAGCACGATTTTTTGGTCCATTGGTTGTTTAGAATATTCATTTAATGTTGTTTGTGTTTGAATATTTACAGTAACTGTTTTTCGCCAACTGAATTATTTCAGTGTTGTATTTTGTGTAGCTCATTTCTTTTATTTGAATAATGGCTTCTCAGGGTGCTGATGGTGGTCAATCTAAAAGTTTATCTCAAGTTATAAATGAGATAAATAAAGGTCAAGATTATAGGGTTGTTTCTAAGGCTGAATATGATTGATTTTTATTGATTTTCAAAAGTCTTCTTTCACACATAGTACACCTCATTTGAGTAGTTTACTTTATATTACAGAAAGTTTAGTTCAGATGTTTTCATTTTTCTTTTCCTTTACTGAAACAAAAAAGAAACTTTCTCCAGGTTTGAATGTAGATATGTTAGTACAGTTTTTCAATCCTTTTGAAACTCGATTTTTACGTTGAATAAACATATCGGGCTTTTATAATGGGAATTAGCTGACCGATTTTGCACAAAAAAAAACGAGTTTTACAAGCTACTACATGTATATAAGTGTGTACATCTAAGTGGTACCCTTGAACAACTGGCATATACTTTGCGAAAGTTTCTTTTTTTGGTTCAGTATATATTTGGAAATGCTTTTTGTAATTTTGTTGTTGTTGTTTTTTTTAATATTTATATAAAGTATTGATTGAAAAACTTCTTCGTTTGTGTTTTATTTTACCGTTTGTTACTAGAAGCAGTTTTACACAAGTCAGTAAATTCTGACTGAAATACATGTATTAACTTATCTCTATGTAGGTCAGTGTTTCTTAACAAACCATTGAAGAATAAATTGCTACATTACAAGATAGCTATGCTATCACTAAAACACATAATTCCATTGCTTAACTCGGCATGACAGTCCAGTCATAATTACAGTGCTTTCTGACCAGACTGTGTACTGTTAACAGGCTGACCTAAACTTTAACTTGAATATCCCTAAAATTTGTGGACAGTTTCATAACTGGATTCTGGAAAAGTGCATTAGATAATTTCAGCAGGTTATTGCATAATTATATGAAAGTTTAAAAGAAAATGCCAGCGCAAACTTGTTAAAACCACTACACTTCAGTCTACAATCAATGACAAGAAGAAGTGTTCAATATATAAAGATGAGTTTAAACAACAAATGCTCTTGAAACAACAAAAAATATATAAAAAAGTAATAAATTTGACAGTAATATAGAAAGTTGGTTTGCTTTAATGTAAGGATATGAGGCAGGAAGCTGTTTGTGACGCAGCAGTGTGTATGGGAGTATAAGGCCTGTGAATCATTGCAGTAGAAAATTAACGAGATGTCATTCGTAAATTTTATGTCGCCTAACCTTCCAGTCTCGGGCAATATGACCTAGATCATGACTAGTTGACATATGTCCAGAAAATAGCAGCAAATTATGCGTGGTCAAGGTCAACATTAAACCTCTTGCCCCTCACATCTTTGGGTTAATCATATTTGGGTTTCATATTCTCTTTTATAAACCTGTGATTAATTCAATATTTTGTAAAATTTAAAGTTAAACTTATAACGATTTAGCAAAATTGAATGTATTTGATAAAGCAATTGTGTGTAAAACTCGATGTAAAATCGAGTTCTTTGAAAAATATCTAAAAGCAAAAAATAAAAGGAAAAAATAAATGCCTTTTCCAAGAATCGAACCACGGTCTCTACACTGACGAAGCCAACACTCAAAGACTACGCTATTACGCTGAACTGTTAAAAAATGAGTAATTGTTTAGGTAGTTAAAGATTTAGGCGATAAATAGTATGCTTTTATATAAGAATTTTCGACACCCCTTTTTGTCAATATTGATGTAAACAGATAATAAAAGGAATAGCGAATTCGAGCTGCATATATGAACTTTTTTTGATGATCAAGTGGGAGATTTTTCTTCAAAAAAGACGGAGATTAATAAACAAAGAAGAAAGTTCTGATATCAAAAATAGGGAGATTTCTTTAATTTGTTAAAATACCCCTTATTTTTAAGAAACATCTTTGAAAATACGGCTGCAGAAAGTGGAAGTCTCCTGCTAAAAGTGGGAGAGTTCACATGTATGTAGTACATGTACTTAAAAGGGGAAAATTATATTACAGTTATTTGACCGGTTCTGGCGCATTGACCAGTTCCGAAGAATCAAGCGAGCCATTCACGTAAACGACAATAAATATTCACGTAAACGACAATAAATAAAGAAAATGAAATACATGTATTCACTGGTTTTGTTGTTTATTGACATTCATAAATAAATATTTTAGTCACCATTCTATTTCGGCTTCTAATAATTTTCGCCCGATTATTGAATCTACATGAAGCAGAAATGCTGAATTTCATATCGCCATTTTAAATGGTTATTGGTATATTGGTACCTGTTATATAAACTGAAAGAAAGGGACATATTATATACACCGGTTGAAAAGTTGCTATCTGCCTTACAACTTCATTCAAAAATATTTGCAAAAATATAGACATAAAATATGAATACCCGTTTGAACCAGGAGACCTATTTTGACCAGTTCCGAAGCTTATATTTTTGATGACGGGATGTACCCAAACGTTTCTGTGTTTTCTTATCGAAAATAAAATGAGCCGCGTCATGACAAAACCAACATAATGGCTTTGCGACCAGCATCGATCCAGACCAGCCTGCGCATCCGCGCAGTCTGATCAGGGCTTACCAACTCTATTACATGTTAAAAAACTAAAAGCGAACAGCATGGATCCTGATCAGACTGCGCGGATGCGCAGGCTGGTCTGGATCCATGCTGGTCGCAAACCCATTATGTTGGTTTTGTCGTGACACGGCTCAAATGTTCTTTGATATTGAAATATATGAACGAGTATCTGTAAGAAAGTGTGCCAACAACTTTTTTGTGGCAAACATATTTTGAAGTTAATTATAATCATTTATTTAAAATGCGCTTACTGTACTGTATAATATACAATGTAGTAGGAAAGCCGTTGAAATACGATAATAGAAAGTACTTGTACGTGTAGTGTAATTAAATTTACATTTTATCTGTGAAAAATGAATAATAAAATAAGATGCAGAAGATTGAACAATAGGACAATACATATCGATGTCTATGTCATTGTTAACAGATATTATCTAAACTTAAAATGTTTGTCAAAATATTTTATAGATAAAATTAAACGATAGATTATCTATAGGAATTATTAATTAGTAATGAGACTAGAATGAATGTTGTTCAAGCATAATTGCAAAACAAAAACTTATTTTCATCTTGCACATTATATACGATCCCTGTTTTTAAGCAGAACTTACCAGAAATAATGAAAAAAAGTCGAATGCAGTTGTATTTATGCTTCATCTCAACAGGGTCTTTCAAACAGAAAAAATACATAGGAACGACCCAGGGGCCCGTCTTATCAACGGTCGTACGACCGTTTTTAACGTACGATTGTCGTACGATTTTGGCGGTGTCTTATCAAACGTCGCAGACTTTCATAATCGTACGATTATCGTAAGATCATGCATTTTTTCTGCGATCGCTGAGAAGCAGTCGCAGATCAAACAAAATGGCCGCCTTACTACTTGTAAACGAACGCCTCCGACGAAAATTACGCTGTTTTCGGCAATGAACGGTTAATATTGATGATTTAACCGATCGAGAAGTCATTTCCCGATACAGATCGACTCAATAAAGCAGCAATTAAAGAGTTGGAGGAGCTCTGTCTGGCTGATCTTTTCCCTAAAACGGGTAGATCGCAGTCTATTTGCAGCATGACGAAGGTTAGCCTAATTAATTTGGCGTGAACGGTTTGACCCATTTTACAGACTTTTTTTTTTTCTTACTGTCAAACCGTTGGAAAAAGACAGCGCCCGTCCAAAATTATCTCGGTGTCTCTTTGACAAGTCTAATTAGTTGGAAGACCAAAATTTGCCAAATTGTTCGATTTCGACGCCGATCGGCCCCGATCGGCTTCGATCCAATACTTTTTCAGATCGTGGCTTGATCGGCATGATCATCCTGAAGTCGCAGCTCTGTGTGAACGGGGGGTTACTACGAGGAAAGTAAAACGGAAGTAACGGCTGTGTTGAAATGGACAATCTCTATCTGACTTGTCTCCCTTACCACTATGTCCTGTTATTGTTTGAATCAGTAGTTGAATTATTATTATTTCATATGTTTAATTATTATTATTTCATATGTTTGATTAAACAAATCTGCATATATCCCATTCCTTTGCTGTGAAAATGATTATTTAGAGACTGATAATCACACAGTTGTTAAGGTAGCACACCCCTAATGGGCACTATAAGGAACTGTTAAATTGACAACATAGGACAGTTATATGCCTTAAATGTCATCTGTATGCAAAATTTAAACAAAATTTACCGTGTGGTTTATGAGTTATGGACATATTTCTGAACTTAAACATTGCCATTAGAAGGGCTTTTTTCAGAAATGAGGAAACTCAAAATAATCTATAATATCATCATTATGAAAAATGTTTTCCTAATGCCCATTGTTCAGAAACAAATAATGACATTTAGGTAACAAATTAAACAAGCAAAATGATTGTTTTTAAACGAAATGAGATTGTCTACCTTAAAGTACTTTGATACTCTCCATTTTGAAAACCACAAAACGTGCATTTCCAGGCGTCTGCAGTAGCCAGATGTCAACAAAATTGACGTTTCAACTTTATTATTCGCAACAGTATTTGTATTTAAAGCCGTGATTGTAGGCCCCTACATATATTTTTTATTACTTGTTGTATTTGAATTTTCGAATAACATTATAATAAGATAACAGGATACAAGGTTGTACTACTCGAATTAGTGAACTGGACATTGCCATAATATCCAAATGGCATGGTGTTTGGACTTTACACCTCCTGGATGTTTCACCCCTGGACGTTTCATCCTCAAAACCCTGGTCTTTTCACCTCCACTTTTTAAATTTGATAAATATATGAAATAAATACCATTATGGGTTATAATTGATTAGTCTGAAATGTTTTTATATTATTATAGATTTTTAATGTTTTGTATTATATACACACAGTATTATATAAAAGAAAATTCAATGTTAGTACATTAAATTTTATTTACTTACATGATTTTTAATATTTTAACTTTTTTTACAATGAGAGTATTTTTCTATTAAAGTATTTAATTTGAAATAATTGGTAATAAATTCATTCTAGCTTGATTTTTTTAAAGCATTTTCAGCAAGTTTTTGTAATAGATTTATCTTAATGAATAAAAAAGACAAAAAATGAAAATGACAAAATGATAGTTGAATATTTAGAATAAAATATTTAGAATAAAATATGATACCATTTTTATTTTCTTATTTTTTTTAAAATAAAATAGGAAATAAAATTATATGATGAAAATAACAGTGTTTATTTTAATGTTATGTTATTGTAAAGTGCATACATTGTAGATATAGTAGTTGACTCTGAATAAAATTTAGTAAATCTGATAATTTTGTTTTTATGTGTTTTTCATACATTGATACATATTAGGTAAATTTTATTTGAACAAGAATGTCATTTTTTAAATAAAATTTCTTAATTATAAATTTCAAAAAACAAATATTCTCTCAATGTCTATCATGCAAATTTATATGATATTGAGTTATCTCAATTATCACTCAATATAATCCAATTAAGGTGTAACAACTAAGGTATGTCAAACAAGTTTACTGATATTTATCCATACAGTATACAATATTATTTATAAAAAAAAGTAGCCAAGTCAAGTCAAGTCAAATTTCCTTTATTACACAAATTTCATGTTAACATGAATAAATGTGGTTAGTAATAAATGCAAAGTTAGTATAGAGGCTCTTTAAACATATGTACAATGTATATAATTTGAGTGGTAAAATAATTCGTAAAAAGAATATTTGTTCATATCATTTGCTGAACTGCAGTACGTTCAATTAACAATGTATCAAATCCACAAATTGTTAAATTTCTTAGTAAATATGTTACCACAAAAAAAATGTCTAGGAGGTGTAAAGACCAAAGGTGAAACGTCCAGGAGGTGTAAAGACCAAAGGTGAAAAGACCAGGAGGTGTAAAGTCCTGAAATCAATGGCATCCCGTGTTTCGTTGTTATTTTTACTGTATGAGATTATTTAAAAAGGTTGTATTAAGGGCCTATGAAATATCATTTTAAAGTTGCAAAATTTCCATAATAAACAGATTACTTTACTATTTCCCTTTTGTTTAACTTGATACATATTTTTGAGACAACAACAACAAAAACATCATAATTAGATGTGTTTTGATTCATTGCACAGATAAATCTACCATCAGTGATGCAAAGAGCAAATGGTAATACACATTTTCAAGATGGACATGAAGGACACCACCCTCGTAAAAGAAAACTTGATGTAAGTTTGTAAACTTCTTTTTGTGTCGTACAGAATTTTTCATGTTAATCTAGAGACTAGACCATGTTTTTTCATTGATTGTTTTAAAACAATTTTCTTTATCAACTTAAATTCGTTCCATGATAAACATTACAGTCAGCCATTTTGTGAAATATAAATTTTTAAGAAATGACATCTGCATAAAATACACAAAGATTTTAGATTTTCTAAAGAAAAAATAATCAGTGAACTGTTCATAACTGGTCGGGGACCATCAACCGGACACTTTTTGAACATTTGTCCGTACAGATTTCATAATTTTTAACTTAGAGACCAAAACATTTGACAAAGTTTAGCTAGGTTCTTCTCCTAACTAACAAACTAGTTTGTAGATTTCTGATTGTATTGACACTCATATCTGAGGCTCGACAAGGAGGGTATCAAAATGACCTAACTTGTCTACACTACAGTACCATGTGTCCGGACATTTATGTACATGAAGTGATTTAATTTAGATAAAAGCTTGGCTGTCTTGATTTTTTATTTTTAACATGATATACAGTATTTCTGCAACAAATGCTGAAGTTTTGGATGTTCTATTGTTTACTCTGCAAATGATTATAGCTGGTATATCAGGTCAGGCATTGCTTTCTTGACCCCCAAATTTCAATGTCAACATTCTAGAAATAGACATTAAAATATTACCATTTCTGGAGGTTGAAATAAATTTATTTACTTAATTTTAGAAGAAACATGCATTTATTGTTGATAAAAAAAGTGACTGACAACCACTGAACAAAGAAAATACTAAATTAAGCATTTTTGGGGATGTCCGGATTTGGTGGTTGTCCGGTTTTTGTGGTCCCCAACCAGTAAGGGAATTCATACTCATATTTTTGATTGTTGTATACAAGCGTAGATCAATTATTTTTGGTAAATAAATTTTGCAAACAAATATTCTGTAATTAGGACATTGAAGATAAAAGTGTTCCTGTTTATAACATTCAGAAATGTTACATAAATTTGCTATTCTGTTAATTTAGCATAGCCAGAAATTATATAACATTGGTGAATACTGCCTTTGAAACACTATTCCTATAGAAGGTATCATAATGACACTATTTATATATCTATCAAACAGAAAGATGGTTTTGTTTGTCCTACAACACCTGATATTCCAAGAAACTCTCACCACTACGTGGAAGATGAACAACATGGGAATTTTAAATGTAAGTAGCTTTATGTTGGTATAAGTTCAGATTCATTATCATGTTTGTTGTATATTTTTTGAATCACTTGTATGAGTTGTTTGTTTATTTTCTTTTTTTTTTCAAAATGTATAAAAGAAAGTGGAAGATATAAGAAACCCTTTTGATTGCAAAGCATTGGAATGCCAATAAATGATTTTGGTTAGAATTTAAAATGCATTCAAATTGTTCAATTTTGTTTTCAGCATTAGGTGCACAATCTAATTTCACCACATTTGCTGGGGACTTTGAGCAAGCAGATAGTGCCTCTGTATCAACTTATTTTAAAGCTAAGGAAGATAATGCCAATATAAAAATGATCAAAAATAATTCCACATACAGACAAGGGGCAGATAATTCATCATTTGAGCAAGCAGCTAACAGTCATTCTTTGGAAATGGGCAGTAACCAGAATGCAGATGGCCAGACAGAAAATGACAGCAGCCAAGGTCAGATTTCAAGACAAGATAGCCTTGGGTTTAAGATAGGAGAAGATAGTGATCAGAGCCAGGAGCCAGGGGAGGCAACAAATGTATATGACAATTATAATTCAGAATTTGATGAAGGGAAGAGAAGGTTAAAATATGGAACAAAGTCAGACCAACCCAATGAAGAAGGAGCAGCATCTCAAATTGGCATCAACAACATATTGCAATCTCTTGTGAAAGGTAAACATTATATTGTTGGTATTATTGTTATATAAGTTTACTGATTATTTACTTTTCTCTTAAGGAACTGGTGTGTTTTGGAAAAAATATGGAAACAAAGTATTTGTATCTAATACAGAAAAATCATTTGGTATGTTGATAAATTAAGTTAAGCACTTAATTTACATTTTTAGTTAACATTTTTTAAACATACAACTTATATATGAATTACATGTATATGGATTTTGTGAATGCTAAGCATCTGTTCAAAGTTCAAGTTTTATTGAATATACATCCTGGTTTGTATATATAGATATAATGCAAAACTTGATAATATAAAAATATATAGGAATTTCATTGACAGGCTTTGCTTTCATATTTAGTAAAAACATTATTTGGCAATTACATGTGAATGTTTTGGGTGAATTTGTTTGCCAGGTAGACAATAGAGGGAAGAAAAAAACTAATAGTTTATAGTCACTTATGATAAAATGGTATGTCATTTAAGAGTTTTCTTTAAATTACTGCTCTTTATCTCTGAAGGTTTTGAACAAGAATCCAGTGCCATGTTTGACACTTGGAGCAAGACATTTGGGTAAGTAATAGTATAATGTGTTTTGTTTGTTGATTAGAAACAAATTTCAGCTACTAAAATATGAAATTTTGATAGATTTTGCAAAAAAATATTGAAAGCAAACTTAACTTTTAATCAGATTATTTTTTTTTGTGAAAAAAATTACATTTTCTGTATTTATAGTTGGTTATTCATTTGACTATTTTTCAAATTTTAACAATTTCAAGAAATTTTAAAAAAGACAACATTTTATATTAAAGCACCAGTGTTTCAGAAATTCCTAATAGATTATTTGGCAATTGAAGTTACATAATAAATAAAATATGGCAGTAAAAGAATTGATTGGAATAATTTAATGAACACAAGCACAGGGTTAGGGACTAGATAATATTTATAACATAATAAATTTACATAATGATTTTAATATGAAAGAATATGAGAAAAGAATTGTGTTTTTTCTTTATGTGATATGTTTGTTCATTTTCTATCTCAAACACAAAAAAATGATAATATTTCTTCTTTAAGACCTGCAGTAAATAATTAAAATATGCATGTGAATATTGAATTTAAGATATACATCATTTACAATACCTGTAAATTTTATGTCACAAGTTGGGGAAGCAGCCCAGCCCTTAATTTTGGGAAAAAATACATGGCATATTTGCAAAAGGGGAAGAAAAAACTTGATGTAAATTCAATTTCTGGGGAAAACTGCATGATTTTACAGAAATTTTCTTTGGGGAAGCAGCCCTTTGCCGGCCCCTGTTATAGAAGGAAAAAAGGCCCTGTATGTATACATGTAGTTTTTAATAAGACAGTTTCTGTCTTCCATAGATTAGCTTTAAAGTAGCTCTTCGGGATAAATTTCAGAAATAATTTTAAACCACTCCAGTAATACTTGATTATAGTATAAGGCAGCTGTTTCCTGCCATAGAGTATTAATTCAATGTGTTACAATATGCTATGCTTTCAGACAATGTGGAGAATATGAGGTGCTATGTCAACAGAGGTTGGATGGAATGATACAGAATGCTAGATCTATGGAAGATAGTTTAAATGGTAAGAAAGATGCCCTCTGTAATAGACTGAAGGGAATTGGTAAAACATTGGAAACATGATGTGTCCACAAGGTAAAAATGAAAGATATGCATGTCCACATGTCAGTCAGTGACTTTTTCAGATGATTTGTCTAAAATATACAATATCTTGTAATTTTGACAGTTGATAGGCTTTATATGACAGGTAGAAATTGGACAAAACTACATCAGTTTTGTCTGTTAAATGAATTTACTTTTTGATCTGTTATGTTATTAATGTCCAAAATGATCCAAAAGCTCCAGAAAATAAATGATGTGTTTTATTGGTGCAATGGAATATATTATTACAGTATTTGGGTTATAATATATGTTCAATAATGTTGTTGTTTTTGTTGTTGTATTTGTTCTTGACCATTTGCTATATCATTGCAGCTCCCCTAGATATCTTATTTTTGTTGGTGTAATAAATATATATGTGATTAACCTTAAAGTTTCTCTTGTGTTTTCATTTTCTGAATCAAAAATTTTTTATGAACATATTTCCTAAGGAAAAAAAGTTCTTACTACATGTACATGTTTTGTACATTATATTTATTAAGATTATGCTCTCCAGAAAGAAAAAGTTTAAGTTTGATACCCCATTATATGAAGTGGCATACTTGTCAATATTTCAAAGGAACTCAACTGAGGTTCAAAAGCGTAAAAATAGAATTTGAATTTTTTAGATACATGTACATCAACTAGGGCACTTACAACAGTATGCAAAAGATGTGGCGTCCGTGGCCGAGTGGTTAAGGTCGGTTACTTCAAACTACTTGCCATTCACCGCTGTGGGTTCGAATCCTGACAGGGTCTTTGGATTCTTTCATGTGAGAAATCTATCCAACTAGCTTACAGAACGTCGGTGGTTCTACTCAGGTATTTGTTCGTGCCTAAAATAATGCACGGAAATGGCACCTGAGGTCTTCCTCCACCAGTAAAGCTGGAACGTCGCAAATGAACTATTGTATATAATGTGTCGGTGTGACGTAAAACCCAATTAAACATTTTATATTATTAAATAGACAATATGCAAAAGATAATTAAGAAATATACACAAATATATTTTGTGTTAAGAATGACAAGCTTTCAAATTTGGGTCATTTTTGCAATATTAAAATTATTATTCTGGAAAAACAGAGTGAGCTTATGCTCTGAAATTTAACACGAGTTATTGGTCTTGACCTATTTCAAATTGGACATTAAACTCGAAAAACCATTTACAGTCCCGTCATGTCAAAAAGCCTCAGTGGAGTCCCTTCAAGGTCTACACAGCAAAGACATTTGTCTGTGAAGTTCTTGGCCATCACAGTTTTGGGTTTGAATCTCATGCGAGTCTTTAGGCTTTGTCATATGAGGAAGGTATCTAGGTAGCTCACGGAAAATCAGAGGTTCTATTCGATCGGGGTATCCAGTCGTGCCTGAAGTTATTGATGTTCAAACAACATTTTGATCTCTAAAGTGAATAAAGCTCCATCTTTGCTACATGCAGAATCCAAAAATATTGAAAAGGATAGCTCCAAAATGCCTGTATTAAAGAAATATGTTTCATTTTTGTGCCCCCACTAAAGCCAGGGGGTGTATTAGATTGCCATTGTTCGTCCATGCCTGTATCCGTCCGTGCGTTCTCGTGTTGTGTCACATGTAGCGAGCTAGAGTTAACAAAATGTACAAGAATGTTGTTCAGCATGTGAGGTTGTGAACCTGGGTTTTTTGCCCTTGACTTATTTGAGCCGCGTCACGACAAAACCAACATAGTGGGTTTGCGACCAGCATGGATCCAGACCAGCCTGCGCATCCGCGCAGTCTGATCAGGATCCATGCTGTTCGCTATCAGTTTCTCTACTTATTATAGGGTTGGTAAGCGAACAGCATGGATCCTGATCAGACTGCGCGGATGCGTAGGCTGGTCTGGATCAATGCTGGTCGCAAACCCACTATGTTGGTTTTGTCGTGACGCGGCTCATTTAATGTCGCATGTAGTTCAAGAAGTATTTGACCTGGAGTCCTAAAAGTTTACAGGAATGTTGGTCAGCATGTGTAGTTATATAGAGATTTTCTTGTGAATTGACTCAGTACTTGTAGAGTTTTTGCGCTTTACTTAGTAAAAGATTTGCAATTTTCAACATGTGTCACGCGTAGCCCACAAATATTTGACCTAGAGTCAGTAGATTGACAAAACATTTGAATGTTGGGACATTCGTGTCCTTTGGACACATTTCTAGTTTTTTTAAAAAGAGTTTTTTGCTTCTTCATTTCTCTTTGGCAATTAGTATAGATATAATATATAGTGATTTTAGTATATTTTGTAAAAGTAAATATACCACCCTTTATCATATATTATTTCACATTCAGCGATACTTTCTACCACTGTTACATTTTCAAATATTTATTTTAAATCCTTTGCATTAAATCATTTTAATTGTATTGGCTGAGTTTATGCATTTACACAAATGGATAAGAATGCATTTGTTTGACTGTCACAATTTTAGAAATTTATACATACTTGTATGTACATAATAATAACGTTTGATATTCTTTAACGATTCACATGCGCTTTACATTTATTGTTGTACGTACGTAAAAGGCTTATATTTGGCTTTGAACTTTAGATTCTACCGACATACATATATTTATGGATGTTATTCAAATTTTAAACCACAATAAAATAAAACAAAAATACAGCAGGTTGCGAAATTTCCGTCAACTTGTTATTTCTAATCATATTTCCTTATAATATCAAACCCCTCGCAGCGTAGAGTATATGTGGTTTACGAACAAATTCCTGTAGAGTTAGCAATAATCAGAATTATGAATATGAAAGACTGAAACTAATGTCACAAATTTTATTGCAGTTTATGTTTCGATATTCGTCCACGAGCAATAAAATTACTTCTCGCAAGCTTGAAAGAATACGTTCAAAGATATCAAAAAACAAGTTAAGGAAATTTGAATACATTTTTTATTCTCCCCCTTCTATAGTTTAATAAATACATGAAACGTCCAAAGTTTGAACTCTTTACATTCAAATCATAACATTTTCTCCACTTGATACCAAAACAAAGTAGATGTGCTGTTCTAAAATTCATAATTGAGTGATTTAACATATGCATTTGTTTGATTTGTAGCAATATACATGTAGTTTTAATGTTTGTCATGATCAACTGTTTCAAACAAACTATGTGGAGAAGTTGGTAGTTACTTTCGAATATTTCAAAACTGGTCTGTATTTTTAACCGGTACAAATTACACGAACGCTAAATTGTTTTTAAAAACTGGCGTTCCACCAAATCAGTAAAAAGTAGGCCATCCATAAATGTTTTCAGGCGATATGACAATAGTTAGAGACAGAGGTTGTGATATTTAAGGAATGTAATAAAAATCTAAATATTATTGTTCATATGCAAAATGTAAAGTTTTTATTGCAAATTTGACATTATAATGAATTCTGTATTGAACGGAAATTGTACAAGGGTGTTACACTATGTATTTGAAAACTTAAAAAATGCACGATTTAAATACTTATTTGAAATTGTTATGTACATAGTAATTACATTTGTTCTTGAAGAACGTGTGGCAAAAGTACCTTTCCTTTACAGTTACACCCAGTTTGTCGAAATGGGTCGGGCCAAGAATTAAAAAAAAGAAGAAAATTGGCGCGAAAATGCTACGCGAAGATGCTGATTACCTTCCGCGTTTTACATCATGCCTCGGAAATGATTTTTCTCCTCTTTTTTTGCAGACGGGAACCCATTTGTTTTATAATGTTGTAATTATGGAGTTAGAAATAACACTTAATGTGAAATATTTGTGATTAAGGTAGCAAATGTAAACTCAGTAAATTTTTGGAAACTACATATATAACAGGTCACCCTAAAAATTAAAAAAAAAAGGTTTTGATAAATAAAGATAATACCATTTTTGATTACCTTCGAACACTAAATGACTATTATTACACGTATTTTGTTGACAGAATGTATGTTTTAAATGCGGTTTTAAAACATGGAAACTGTTTTACAAGTCTATTGCAAAATTAAAGTTGTATGACGATTCAGTTTTGATATTTAATTATTCAAGAACATTCACTATGGATTAATATATTCGTTGCTTAATAAATATGAGCCGCGTCACGACAAAACCAACATAGTGCGTTTGCGACCAGCATGGATCCAGACCAGCCTGCGCATCCGCGCAGTCTGTTCAGGATCCATGCTGTTCGCTATCAGTTTCTCTACTTGTTATAAGGTTTGTTAGCGAACAGCATGGATCCTGATCAGACTGCGCGGATGCGCAGGCTGGTCTGGATCCATGCTGGTCGCAAACGCACTATATGTTGGTTTTGTCGTGACGCGGCTCTTATGTAGATTATAATAATTTAAATTTTATTGGCAATATGCAGCGTATGAAGTTTTTATTGCATTTTAAACAGAGTCATTTTTTTCTATATTGCATTGTATGAAACGGAAATGGCATAAAAGTTACACTCTATACGTCAAAAAAGAAGATATAAATGTATCAGTTAGTTTAAGTGCTCCTTTATCAATATGTTTTTTAGATGCACACTAATTACTTTTACGTGTCTTTTACTTGCGCCAATTACTTTGATCTTTTAAGTTTGTTATGAAACCAAGTTTGAAGTCACTGGGTCAAGGTGTCTGACACCATTGTATCTTTGAATTGACATTATATATATGTGCACCTTTAATATGCATCATTTCATTATGAACACAATTTTGTAACGTAAACGTAACGTAAGTGTTTTGTGTACCGCATCCCTGTTCTCCTAAACTGTTTCAAAGTTGACTGTGTTCTTTTTCTATCCAGAGGAGGTCGTTCGGTACATCGACGGTACATTTAATACATTGATTGATTAATTGTATAAATAACGCATCTCATGTTTTCACCTTATTGACATCTTTAAAGCGAAAAACCACATTCTAACCATCTATTTTAATATGTTTGAACTTTATTTATTGTTAACATATAAACAGTTATGAACATTCAACTTTTGCGGTTAAGTGTCTTTAATTAAACTGTTCGTTAATTGAATAATTCTTGATAACACATTTAATCGCCGTTGTCTATTTGACGTAAGAAGAATGCTTGAAACTTTAATTTGCATGAGGAAACAACCAAGATACTCCTATCTTATAGAAAATTATATTCGGACTTATACGTGAAACATACGTGTCCGAGTTTTCCGCAGTCCACACTGTCCATGTACTGAAACAACAGCAGATTCCTGATAATACCTTTAAAGCGCTATATGTGTATGTCTGTCTTCTTAAAATAGGTTTAAAATCAATTGGAAATAATAATTATAATATATATTTTATATAAGGCTGTATATAAGATTAATCATATTTCAATAAAAAACACATCATGCACATCAAAAGTTAGTCAGAAATGTACCGTGCGATCTCTTTTAACAATAAAAAA